TGAGGGACAGAAGACAGGTTCTGAGGACGACTGGTCTCAGAGGGACAGAAGATAGGTTCTGAGGACGACTGGTCTCAGAGGGACAGAAGACAGGTTCTGAGGACGACTGGTCTCAGAGGGACAGAAGACAGGTTCTGAGGACGACTGGTCTCAGAGGGTCTGAGGACGACTGGTCTCAGAGGGTCTGAGGACGTCTGGTCTCAGAGGGTCTGAGGACGTCTGGTCTCAGAGGGACATGGGACATGGGTTCTGTGAAAAAAAAACTTGTCTCAGTCAGTCAGATGAAGGCGGGGCTTACCGTCTATAGTTCACCTATACAGTTGGGGGCGGGGCTTCAGTTTTCATAACGGACCTACAGATAAAGGCGGGGCTTTAGTGTTTTAAGGTAGACTTATAGATTGGGGCGGGGCATCAGTGTCCATGGCTGACCTACAGATAGGGGCGGGGCTTTATGTACAAACCAGATTCTTCTAAAAAACCCTGCAACAGATGGTTCAAATACAATTATTTCTTGTTTATTTTTAATTGAAATAATTTGTTATAATTTGATTCAGAGAACAATAAAAACTGTATTTCTTCTTCTGAATGTACTTATTTGTTCACCTGAACAAACACTGAGTGTTTCATGAAACCTATTACAGGCCTCACACACACACACACACACACACACACACACACTGTAACCCAGGGATATAGGTCACCTCTTATTTCAGTTTTCTCTCAGGAGTTTCGTTCAGCCTCATTAATCACTTCTTTACTGCAGAAATATGATTTTATTAGAATTAAACTCATAAACTTCCTGTTTGTCTGAATTAAAAAGGAGCCAGAAGCAGAGTTCAGTTTGCTCTGCAGGTGGAGGCGGTGCAGATAATCGAAGGATTGATGTTTTATTAAACACCTCCACCATCAGAAGGTCACACCTGTGTGACGTGAACTTTCTGTCTGATRATCTTTGAAGCTTCAGCTGAAAATGTCTTCCTGTTGGAAGTGACAGATGAATGTAGATCCAATCTCAGGGTGTCTCCTTCAGGCAGGAGATTTATTTTTATTTTATAGAAACGTTCATTGACGTGACGCGGAACAGCAAAGATCCAATCAGCAGKTTTAAAACACGGGTCCTGGGTCAGAACCTGGTTCTGTTTTCAGATCTGATGGGGATTTCTCATCATTAAGATAATATATTCATCCTCAGTTTGGATTTTTATCTGTTAAAAGTGTTACAAGTTAAAGGAATCAGGTTATTTCCTGGTTGAAGACTTTCAATTATAAACAAAGAAAASAAATAACTGTTTCCATATGAAGAAAGATTTAAATAAATAACATGGATTTAGCTCATTTTGCTTGTTGGGACGAGAATAATTTGTAAAAAGTTTGTTTAGAAAACATGAACTTTATGTGGAATATTTCTTAAAAATGGACATGAAGCAGAAAAGGTCAGATTCAGTTAATCTAATGAATTTAAACTAAAATTCAGACAGCACAAACTATTTCTGAAG